TTGTCAACAAATATTTAATACAAGCATCACAGTTCATCTTAATTCTTTTTTTGACTGTGTTGATGAAACTAATAAAGATGAAATTAATAAACATATTGCTTATCAGATTATAAAACTTATCTCTAAGGCTGACAGATATACTTATATTTATCATATTTGTAAAAAATTAAAAAATAGTGTATCTTTTGAGTTTTACTATAATTGCAAATCAGAGAAAATAAATAAAAAAGCATGAATTGAAGATTTTAATAAACAATAAGATACTGAACTCTGACTTATACAATTTGAATGTAAAGAGTATATCCTTATTACAATTAAGAATTACATGAATTGGTTTATATTCATATCTATCATTTGATGTATTCATGACCTTAGTCTGTATCTGTGTCATCTGAAATTAAAAACTATATTTAAAACAATTAGCTTCTTATAGTACCTCAAATATATTACAATATAAAGGATTTATGTCTCGACAGTTATCTTTATATTACATGATATCAAATTTATTACTAGTGTAAAAGGTTGGGATTTAATAAATATAAAATGACTGAGGATTAGGTAAAATCAACAATTCTATATCTTTTAAAGTTTATTATATTTAAAGTAATTATTCAACAACCTACAGTTATTACCTTTATAACCTCTTTATTTAATCTTTTTTCAAAAGAACTAATTACTACTATTGTTGTTAATACTATATTCAAGACTAATCAATTAAAATATGAATTTTATGCAATTCTTAGAATAATTGATAGAACTGGATTTTCTTTAACTTATTTATTTTTAAAACCTAATTAAGAAGAAAAGTGTTCAACAAGTTTTTGAAACTGGTTTAATATAATTAGACAACAGAATATTTATAATATTAAAACCTTTTTAATAGACAATGATTTTTCTTATATCATATTTGCTCAGAAAGTTTGGCCTCAGGCATGGGTTCAATTATACTACTGACATGTTTTTTATACTATAAAAAAAAACTTTTTAGTATAGAGATTATTTATCTAGCATATAATACATATGATGTGTATATTACTTGTACAATAATAAATTCAACTTGGCAATCAAAACTAAGAAATTAATAAGTGCTTAGTGAACTTTTATTCACAAATCTTTTAGACAATAATACAGGTTGAATGAATGAATAAAAGGTGAATAATAGGTAAATAACAGAAAAAAAAACTGCCATTATTCTACTCTATATCTGCCAAATAATGGCAGCATAACAGCAGCATAACAGTAGAATAATAGTAAAATAACAGGAGGTTTGTCAATATGAGTAACATAATAGTAACATAATAGCAAAATAATAGAACTGTTCTATTATTTTACTATTATATTACTTATATTGACAAACCTCCTGTTAATTTACTATTATTCTACTATTATGCTGCTATTATGTTGCCATTATTTGGCAGATATAGGGTAGAATAATGGCAGTTATTTTTTCTGTTATTTACCTATTATTCACTCTTTATTCATTCATTCGACCTGTGTAAGTCTGTAATGATTCAAATAAATATAATGTTTTTTGTCAAAAAGATCAACATGAACATATTATTCAATTAGTTCAAATTTACTTTTCTTTACATTTTTTAATTTCAACTAAAAACTGATCTATATTTTATAATTTAAAAAAAGTTTGAGAATATTGTGTTAAAGAATAGTATGAATATTGTAAAGTTAATAATTTGTCTCATATTTGGGCTTACCTATAAGTTAAATAATATAACCCAGAATATTGAAATTTATGAGCACATTCTGCTGTCAATTTTATTAATATTTTATGATCAACAATAACAATTAAAAGTTATTGGTAAGTAATAAAACATGTTTATCTTTCTAAATATAATTATGCATGTTTAGACTTATTAACATATATAATTGTAAATTGAGTTATAACTAAACAAATTGATCAATTACAACAATTATGAGATAGTAGAATCATGACATCTTGGAGATATGATTTTAAAAAAAAATAACACCAACTTAGTAAAATATTAATTCACCCTAATTCTCAACAAATAACTGATACTAAACAATAAGCATATTTTTGTATTAGTTTTTTATTTAGCAGATTTTTTATCTATAAACATTTAGTTTAACAAAAAGACACTATATCTCTAAAATTTTTTTAAAAAATTCATTATCAAGGATTTTATTTATTTTTACAATTTAATAAACAATATGATAATATTTTTAAAAACCTACCAAAAAATATTTTTTTGATCACTTTAAATAAACTGCAAGTTAAAAGTACTGCTGATCAAACAAATTCAAATATAATTTCTCAAGACATTATTAAAGATCATATGATTTATCAAGATTATACAACCTTTTAAAACTGTACAAACTTTCAAGACCATACGGTCTTTTAAGATCATCAAAATCATATAATTTCACAAAGCATTATAACTACTCAAGAATGTATAATTTCTGATAATAAAAAGCTCATAGATGATAAAAAAGAAGAACTTTATTCCTTATTAGAATGTGTCAAGGTTATTATTAACAAAAATATCCAAAATCAAAATACTGAAAGATGGATTAATTCGGTTGACAAAAATTTTAATGCATTGCATAAGATAGTCAATGATTGTGAACAATTTAATAGGCAAAAAAAAATACCGAATACATGGAAGGATCGTAATCATAATACATTCTGGATTTCATAATAACTTTGTATAATTAAATTTAGAAATGCAAACTCGAATATAATTGTTGCTTATATTTTTATATTTTAAAATGAGTTTCAAACAGAATTTTCTGTTGAACTTTAATAAAAATATAATAATCGTAATATGCTAAGTAACAATATATTTTTTTTTCGTACTTTTTTTGTATCAGTATTTTCAAATTTGAGATACCGTAAACGTAATCTCACGTAATAGCGAAATTTATTAGACTGGCGATTTAACCCTTGTTGTCGATCACAGCCATTAGCCAAATCAAAATCGAGGTTCATCCACGCATTTTTCTTGTGTGGCACCTAGGTTTAGTTAAAAACAAATTAAAACATATCCATGAATACAAAAAAAGGTTAAAGTAACGGGTAAGTGATTTTATCGAAATTGGTACCGTAGAGCGTTTCATATAGGACCCACCTTCATATAGTACCCAGGGTACAAATCAAAAAATCTTATCTAACTTGGGTAATATCATGTGAAAAAAAGAATAAAATCCAAAGAAATGTTTCGAATAGTTCTTAGATAGGTGTCATATTTGTTGGTCGAAAGTAATCGCGCAAGCCTTATTAATATTAAATGACAATAATGGGATTTTAATTTGGTAGGGTACTATTCTAAGGGGATACTGTATGCAGCGATGTATGGTAATGTTTTAAGCCTCTAATCACACATAAAAACTTATCCGAATTGCACATCATGTGACTGCAAAAATGTAAACATCTTATTCAAGGGATGTAGCAAAAAACAAAACACTGTTTAAATATTGATATTAGGTGATTTTTGCATTATTCAGTGAGATGAATTATTCGATTTTAATGACTAGGTCATGAGATATCGTGGTGTAACAACTGGTACCTTGCGCCATAACTTATTTCAGTGGCATCTTAAGGAAGAAATGGATCATTGAGATTTTGATTTGTAGATTACTTTATTTACCATGTTTATCCGGGTGGTGCTCGTTTCGCCGACAATCTCACTGAAAAGTTTATTTCGCTGACAATCTCACTGACAAGTTTATTCCACTGACAGTTATTTCACAGACAATCTCACTGACAAGTTTATTTCGCCGACAATCTCACTGAAAAGTTTATTCCATTGACAATCTCACTGACAAGTTTATTCCACCGACAGTTATTTCGCCGACAAGTTTACCAACAGTTATTTCACCGACAAAGTAATTCTGGTCATTTTCGTTAGGGTCAGATTAGGATTAGATTTAATATTAGTGCAATTTTTTTAAAAAACTTGTCGGTAAAATGGGCTGTCGTTGAAACAGTTGTCGGTGAATAAACTTGTCGGTGAATAAACTTATCGGTGAAATGGATTGTCGATCCATTTATCCATGTTAATATATAATTTTTTTTAATCATTATTGTTATGATGATAAGTCTTAACATCCAGACTTTATGGAATTAATAAAAATAAAAAGAAGCTTGGATCGACTAATAAAAAATTATACATAAAATATTATAAGAGACCTGTATATTCTACTCTCTATAAATGAAAACACACTAAATGCATATTTTTTTACTATAGGATCCAAGGGGAAGTACTTAGAAAGGTGTATATAAATAATAATAAGCAGTTATCAATAGAAATAATAGAAATCGTTAACACAATAATAAATTACTAAGCCATAAAATTAATCAAGATAAGTAGTAAAAATTAAAGTAATAATTTACAAAAATCTTGGCAGAAAACCATATGCAGATTTACCAATCAATGAAAAAAGGTAACTAACTATATGGCACCATTATTATTATTATTAGTAACACATAAAGATCAATCAATGATTAGCATTAGTGTATTACGCAATTCACATAAATGAAAAATATTTATGAATTCGATTATGGAACGAAATTCACCGTAAATTTTTTCGATCACTTGTTTATATAATCGGGCTCGTTCCGTAACAAGAATAAATTAATGGGAGACACCATTTAATATACGATGTTGACGTTGATCTCGTACAAAGCCTCAGAGATTTTACTTATAGATGCTATTTATAGGATATGATGAAAATAAGTGAAACTAGTGAAACTAGTGTAACTAGAGTTAGTGTGAAACACATTCAGATCAGATGTAGAAAGGTAGGATGTACGTAGGTAAGTACGACCCTGGGATTAACACAAAAACATCAGCCTATGTGATTATAATAATCGAATAAGTAGAGAACCGTCACACGAGGGGATACACTGTAAGGAACAAAAATGGTTCTAGAACAAAGTATCGAAGGAATTTTCTTTGGATAAGATAATCGAATATAGTTAAATTTGATCCTAGAATAGGGGAATAGAATTGGTAGTTCAAAAAATGTATAAAAGGGAGGTTAGTTCACACGATCCCCTTTCAACAATTGAAATTTTCACTTCCATAAAATTTTTAAAAAATTTTAGAAATTTATATAAATAAATAATTAGAAAAATAAGTAATAAGCATTTTCACTAGTGAATAAGCCAAATTCTTTTACTAAGAACGAAGGTTCCAAAGATTATTTGAGATTGGAAATGTGATTTATGTGATATTATTGAGTGATTTGAAATTATCGTGAGTAGTATTTATGAGGTAACGAGACAAGTTCGAATTATGAAGTATCGGTATCGGTATAATATAATCTAGTTTCCAACAAATTCGTATTTCGTATTACCAATGTATTATACATATTTGAGGAGGACTGTGTGTAATTAGTGTGGGTATATTTTTTAAATACAACCTGCTTATTAGGAAGTATAGGGATCAAAAGTGTGCACTACGAGAATTGTACCCTATTTTTTGAAGATAAGCAACATATTGAAAGTATTTAATGTATTTAGTGTATTTAGTGGAAATTGGGGGACAAAATAATTTTGACCTTTTTTTTTCTTGTAATTGCGTATTTATTATTTGTAATAGTGGCCTCTTTCACATAATTGGATGCTTATTGACACAACAAACCAGTAACAAAGCCATAATTGACCACGATTTTCAACAACAATTATGAAAATTTTTAATCAGATGACTGTTTATATATTGAAGTAATGCACTCATAAGGTCATATGGTGCCTATGATTACTATATGTGTATCTAACACACGATAAATATTCTAGTGGCCCAGTCAGGGACAGTGAAAAATAACGATTTATGTTGATTATATGTAAATCGATATTTTTAGGCCGAACAACACAATTTGGCCAACCTGAACTGTCGGTAAGTTTCGGAAACGTGGTCAATCAACAAACAGAAAAACATGTTTGCCGGAAAGTTACATTACTGATCACGTTATCTGTGTTACATAAAATAGTGCATTCTGATTGGCTAATCTTGGGAAATCGATATAAATCGATATTTTTGACTATATCGATAAATATTTTTGCCAAATCAAATCGATATTTTTCACTGTCCCTGGGCCAAGTACAACAATTCCAATCAATGTAAATAGTTGTTGTTATCTATGCCGTATCTGACGTTTAATATGGTGGCGTAGGATGAATCGTATATGTTCGGAAATATCTTTCTTGAAACAATATCATCTCGTTATTACATAAGTATACTTTTATAAATAGTATCAAGTTGGAACTATGCAACATAGACAAGTTCTACGATAAAAAGTAAAAACGATTAAAAAAATAAAATAAAAAAAGTGAAAAAAATAAAGTAATAAAATAAAATAATAAAATAAATAGAATAAATAGAATAGAATAAATAGAATAAAATAAATAGAATAAAATAAACTAAAATAAATAGAATAAAATAAATAGAATAAAATAAATAGAATAAATAAAAAATAAGGCAAACTACCAGAAGAGACAGGAAGAATGATTTTTAAAACCCTATTGAGCTTCTAAGTTATTAAATAGTATAATAAATTAGGAGAATAAATATATAGGTCTTTTTAAATATATGAAATTTCTCTCATACGTAAGGGGTCTTCGTTGTTCTGGGCTGAGTAACCAACCACATATGAACATAATAATAATAATAATAATCACAATAAATATATCTATATGAATTGAGTTACTATGATAACACGGAATAATATATCTAAATATTACTATGAAGACTTGCCGGTGGAGTTTGAATGGTTTGTCTATTTGTGTATTAGTAGTTATGGGAGTACTAGAGCCAAGGTGTCCCCATATGAAGTATATAGTTCATATGTATAAAGGCTGTATAATATGATTATAATATGTATGTCACCCATATTGATACATATGGTTGCTCCATTTGACTGATATGACGATATGAATAACTAAATAGTGAAAAAAAAAAACAATCCCTCATAATACACACCCCATATACCACATATATAACAGACGAAAAAAAATACCGTCGAGCCCAACCCCCCAACATACCTGCTTTTTCGTTACTTTCAAACTTACTCAACTTGCTCTCATCATCTTACCAAACCTCTAGTACTCGACCAGAAATTTCACAATGCCTAAGACCAAAACTGCCAAGAAACCCGCCAGTGGTGTGTATTTTTCGTTTCTTTACCTTCTGTACCTCTTATATTAAGCCTTTACGGGCCTATATTATAAGGAAATTTAAACCCTCTTAATCTAAGAGCGTGTTCTTTCAAAAAACTCTTACAAAGAATGCTTTGGAGTTGACGACGAAGCTTTATTTCCACGTTATTTCACGCTTTTTTTCGTAGCCTTTATACTCTACTTGTAAACGTTTCATATAGCGCGACTGTTCTTATTATTTATATATATATATATATATATATATATGTTATATATATCTTTCGTTCTTATTATTTTATATATTTATATTTATTTATCTTTATAGGTGGTGGTAGTAAAAGAAAACTTTCTCCATACAACGCTTTTATGAAGTCTGAACTACCTAAAGTTAAAGCTGAAAACCCGTCCCTTGAACACAAGGCTGCCTTCAAGCTTGTCGCTGAGCGGTGGAAGAACAGTCCCGAAAACCCCAAAGTATGTAAAAAGCCTTTTCCGTACTCTATCTTTCGTCATCATTCCAATGACGTCATCGCGTTTGTACGAGTATGACTTACACATTTTAATTAATGAATATGTCTTCTGTCCTCCTCACTTCTCTCTTTCGCAGAACCAGACAAGTTAAGCGTCACGTGACCAAGGATGTTATAGTGATGCCTTTTAAGTTTCACAAAGCCTTTTCGTACATACAAGGACTGGTTATTAAACGACCGTGTTATAAATAACTGCAAATATTATTGTGACAAATTTTATATATCATTTCTTACAATGTTATTGCTGTATACATTTTCTTTTTTTTCATCATAATTCTTTGTTATTTTCATTTCAAAAAAAAAGATTTATATTCATCCAATCTATTACTGGTTTTTTTTTTTTGTTGTGTAAATAAAATAAGTCTTATACTACACTCTTACGTTCGTTGACTATTAATACTTGTTATATTTTAAAATGTTAAAATTCTTTTAATGATCGACGAAATAAAATTTATGCTTAAAGAAAATGGTTGACATTTTAATTATTAATATTTAAATAAATCTTTTAACATGATTCTTTTAAAATTGTCAATGCGCATATTGACTGTAAAATAGTATTACCGTTAACTTTAAAAAATCTGATTTTCCAAATACAAATATGTTTATGATTTTTCTTAATTTGGTTTGATGCCATTATTAATATTCTTTAACAAGGGCAGATCATTTTCATTACGAGCGTTTCTTTACGAGATTAAATAATTTTTATAAAGTCATTCACAACTGTTCCTGTTCACAAGTATCTTTACAATTAGTTTTGATGCCTGTCTTTTGAAAGTATAGTTTTAAACAATTATACCTTTATTTTTTTGGCCGTACAAAATAATTGAGAATCCTTGACTAAAACATACTTGCACTTTGATAATACGTATTCTTACGTTTTGTTCATATTATTCGACATATTTGGTAAAGTTGAATTTTCCGAAATCTTATCACGTACGTACAGTACACAGAGTTTTTACGAATTTCCTGCATAATCCACGTAATAGAGGTAAACTACCAGATCTTGTGCCAATCAGGCCACAAGATCAGCATAAGACATCAGATGTGAGGATCACCGAACACAATGTAGTAAAAAGTGTTAATGTTAATTAACTGAAATAAATAAGTTTAAGTATATGCTATTAGAGGCGGTAGAATATACTCTCGAGAAACTTTGCATTAGATGTACGAATATATGGTGTGCAACGTCACGTGCGCATTGTTCTATATATATTATGTGAAGTTGAACCAAGCAAATATTTTTTAATAAGTTTTTTTAAAAACTTTAAACAAGAATAACTTAACAAATACTTTATCTGTAATTTTTTTTAAAAAAAAATATTTTTATTAAGTTTTGTAAGTTATTTTTGTTTACAAAAAATTGTTATATAAAATAATAAAATAAAAAATAATTATAATAAAATTATATAAAACTCTTTCTAACAATTATTTGAATACAAAAAATAACTAAAAGAAAATTAAATTTTTTATATAATTAATAATAAAAAATATTTTAAGCAGCATTAAATAAAAAGAACTAGTCAGCAGTTTAATGGTTAAGCTTTGATTGCAAGTATTAGTTCTGCTATAGCAATACTTAGGTTAGTTGTAAAAATAAATACAGAAGGCTCTGAAAGGTTTATCTTAAGGCCTAAGGTTAAGTTGATGATCTGGACATTTGAATATGACTTAGTAAATTAATACAAGTTATAGATTTAGAGGATTTAAAGTGAAACATCCAAACAGAAATATTAAGTACAACAATTGGTAAAAAACCTTTAAGTAAATTCCTTAAATAGGTAATATAGAAAGTTATATATGTAGTTAATTGTACATTCTTCTGTAGTAGTTCACAGAATTGCATTACCAAAAAGTTATTAATAAAAGTCAAAAGACCAAAGAGGTCACCTTAATACCAAAAAAAAATTAAAAAGAATTAATAACAAAAAAAAACAGTTAATAAAATATGTTATAATATAATAAAGTAATTATAAAAAAAATAAAAAAATAATAGTTATAAAAAATTATTATTAGAATTTGAGTTTTATAAGTTAACAGATAAGTTACTAAATTTTTACAAATAAGATTAACAGTTTGAGTCAAGTTAAAGACAAAATTTAAAGATTTTAAACTTTATAATCTAAAATAAAAGTCAAATTAAATACAAAGTTTTATAAAAATTTTAAGATAAAATACAAAAACAAATTAATTTTTTCAAAATATAATTAATTTTGCAAAAAGTAAACACTATATATAATAGCAGTATTATAGAAGATTTTATTATATAAAGTATTATATAAATAAATTTTTTAAAAAATAATATAGTATTAATATTTTTGCATTTAATTTACAAAGTATTTAATTAAAAAAATAATACTAATATAGCTAAAACTAAAATAATGAATAAAACAATATATACAGTATAAAAAAAATTTATAATAAAAAATTAGTTTAATTAAAATTAAAATATCTTAATCAAATATTATAAATCTTAAAAAAACAAAATTAATAGATATATTATAACATTATTAATAATTATTATATCTATATGCAATAAGTTATAGTTTTAAATCTTCTTACAATATTAAGCTAAAAATATCATAGTATAATAATAATAATATACTTATAGATATCTGTAAGAAGCATAAGCATTCGTACTACAACTAAACTAATTATAAAAGTATATAAAAAAAGTACATAGTAGTTGCAAATCAATAATTTAAAACTTGATAAATTTAGATATACTAATTAGTACTAATATATAAAAAATTATATACATCAAATTAGTAACAAAAAAAGCAAAAAATTACTAAAATTAACTAATTTAAAAAAAATAAAAATTTATTATAAAAAAAATTATTTGTCTAAAAATACTTATCCCTTAAATTGTATTGCATGCAAATTTGTCTGCATCTTTTTTTAAAAAATTAATTTTTATAATAAAATTTTAA